ACAATGTGAGGTGAGCCTGTGCCACTGCCTCCTCATGCAAACTTTGCTCATCTGCCATGTCAGCTGTCCCCCCGGCCCATGAAGGTTTTCATTTTAATGGTCTGACTCATTCATTTTCCTTTCTTTCCTTCGGAGGTGGCGCGTGATCTGGCAGCTCACAGGGCTTGCTCCCGGCTCTGATCACTCCTGGGAGATACTCAGGGGACCGAATGTGGCGCAAGGGATCAAGCCAGGATCAGCTGTGTCCAAAGCCAGCTCCTTAGCCCTGGACTACCTCTCCAGCCCCACCCGTGCTTCTATTTATACTTTTAGCTCTCTCCCTTAGGTCTTTGATCCAGTTCTGACTTGACTTCTGTATTCGGTGTGTGGTAGAGATGCAGCTTAATTCTTTTGACAATGAACACCCAACATTCACTGAAGAACTTACTTCTTTGGTTTTTCGTTTGGTTTTGGAGCCACAACTGTCGGGACTCCTGGCTCTGTGCTTAGGAGTCACTCTGCGATGTTCAGGGAACCATGGACGGTGCCAGGGACTGAACCGAAGTCAGCTGCCTGCAAAGCAAGGAACTTACCTGCTGCACTGTCTATCTGGCCCCAGAGAGACTTTTGTTCCATTGAATTATATCGCTGCCTGTATTAAAAATCAGTTTATTCTTGTTTGGGGTCACCTTGACAATGCTCAGAGCCCACTTTCGGCTGTGCCTTCTGGGATCACTCCTGGAAGTGCAGGAACCTGGAACAGACCCCAGGATACTGGGTAGGGTTCATGCAAGGCAAGCACCCTACCCACTATACTGTCACTCCCACCCCTAAAAATCAGTTGATTTTTAAGTGTGAAAGTTTATTTCTGGAATTGTTGATCTATACGTATATTCAAATGTCCGTAGCGGGCTGGAGCGATAGCACAGTGGTAGGTGTTTGCCTTGCTCGCAGCCAACATGGTCGACCCGAGTTCGATTCCTCCGCCCCTCTCGGAGAGCCCGGCAAGCTACTGAGAATATCTCGCCTGCACGGCAGAGCCTGGCACGCTACCCGTGAAGTATTCAATATGCCAAATACAGTAACAACAAAGTCTCTAATGGAGACGTTACTGGGCCCGCTCGAGCAAATCGATGAACAACGGGAGGACAGTGACAGTGACAGTACTCTCTGGACAGTGACAGTGACAGTACTCTCTGGTGAAGGTAACTGAATTTAAGCTGGATCAAATTAATTAGCTAAGGGAATACTCCATCTTAAAACGTCCTTACCTTTGTATGATGCTCTCTACTCTTGTTTTGTTTTTGTGCCACACTCTTTGGTGCTCAGGGATTACTCCGGGAGGTGTTCAGGAGACCACATGGGGTGCCAGGGATCAAACCGGATCTGGCCAAGCACAAAGCAAGCACCCTAACCCCTGTACTAATCACTCCAGCCCCAAGAACATTTTGTCTCCGGGTCAAGTGTTCTCATGACCCTGGCCAATCGATTACTGACTGAGCCTGAAATTTGGGGAAGGAAAAAAAAAGCAAAGAAAAAATTAGGGTTAAAAAAAAAAGGTGGGTGGGGGAGAGGACATAAAACAGACTGATTATAAGTGTTTGGCTCCTAATCAGCTTACAAACAATTTTCCCTTTTCCTGCATGGACAAGGAATGGGATGTTCTGAGTAATCCAGGGATTTGCTTGGGTATTGCATTTTCAGAGAATGAGAACACAGAGAAATACTCTCGATACTAAAACCACATGGACTGTAATTTAATCTTTAATTTTGTTGTTGTCGTTCTAGAAGCCTCCTCAGTCTATTTTAGGGCAGAATTTCTTCAAGAGGGGCCCATGGAAAACCTCAACTCTCTGCATCATCAGATAGAAGTGCTTGTTTAAAGACACAGGCTTCAGGGGCCCAAGCGATAGGACAGCGGGGAGGGCACTTGCCTTGCCTGCGACTGACCCTGTTTCCGCCCCCAGCACCCATATGGTCCTCTGAGCCCTGCGGTGCTGAATACAAGAGTACAGAGCCAGGAGTAAGCCCAGAGCCAGGTGTGGCCCCAAAACCAAAACTAAAAATGCAGATTTCAGAGGCTGGGCAGATAGTTCAGTAGACTGAGCACAAGGTTTGGATGCGGGAGGGTAGGTTTGACCCCATGACTGGAACTGCATGGCCCCCCAGCACTGCCAGGGACACGCCACCCCGTTTCACTCCCAGCACTAGCAGGTGTGGTGAAAATACCTAAACAATTAAAAATGCAGGCTCAGGGGGCCAGAGTGATAGAATAGCGGGTAGTTCATTGGCCTTGCATGCAGCTGACTTGGGTTCAATCCCTGAGCACTTCGAGGAGAGATTCCTGAGCGCAGAGCCAGGAGTAAGCCCTGATGCTGGGTGTGACCTCAAAACTAAAACAAATAACCCCCTCAAATTTCAGTGCTCCCATCCACCTTGCATGCAGTTAAAATCATGGGGAGATTTTGCTAAAAATCCATTCACATTGAAAAACTACTGTTTCAGAGCAGCAAAAAGTCAAGGATGACTGCCAGTTGCCTTTGCGCTAGAGATATGCAAACATTCTGCTTGAAGGAGAGTTCTGGATAATCCAAACGAATGCGCCTCACTTCCTTGGAGTCTTTGCTAAAACCTCAGCTTCCCTCTGAGAACTTTCCTGGTCTAAAATTGCAAGTCGCCCCTTCCCCATGCCTCTGTCTCCTACTGCCCTTCCTCCTCTATTACACTCACCCACATCTAATTACTATTTATGTATCTTCTATCTGTCCACGTATTTATCATGCAACTCTAGCAAGCACCTTCTCTACCTTCTCAAAGGTAGGTGCTAGGAAGCTACACCTAAGACGAGCTCTGCGAGGTAGATGCTGTTCATAAATATTTGGGCAAGGAATGGACGTGCCAAGTTGCATCTGAGCGCTCGAGCACAATGCCAGTTGCCCGCTGTCTTCCTCCCAGGGGTTTTTTTAAAACCAAAAAGCAAATTATTCTTTAATTCTCTGAGTGGTGCTCTGTGTGTGGAGCACTAGAGAGAAAGGGCTGGAACCGCATCCTCTAATCTCCTAATTCTGGAGTCCGGGCCAGTTGCTCTGAAGATCATTTTTCCTTAATACCGCTGAGATCCTCAATTTACTATGAGGATCATGCATTTACAGCCGCATTGTCCTGCGCGCGCCACCCTAGAAAGACTCATTGCCCCGACGGTGAGCACAGTGGACTGATGCAGGGGGAATGAGATGAGCCTTCAGGAGGAGGGGACTCTTGCCAAGCTATTCTTCCACACATGACTCTCCTACAAGCCAGGTGGTGACGAACCACCTCTTTCTTCTTCTCCCCCTTCGGACCCTCTATCCTGAACTCATGAGCCTTCTTGGGCTTTCCCCACGCGGCCTGGGCTGGCTGGCCCTGAACAAGTACCCCTCCTTGGGTACTTGTTCAGGGCCAGCCAGCCCAGGCCGCTTCCTCCTCCAGGAGACTTGGGGCTCCCTCTCTCTGCCTCTTCCCACCACCGGGCCCCTTTCTCCCTAATCCTGGAGGCGGTGTTGGCTACCACCGTCTAGGCCCCACCTGACATTGGTGTGAAATGTGTGCCCTGTGTGAGGCACTGAGGGCTGGGCGAGCAGAACAATAAATAAATAATAAATAACCCCAACAACAACAACAAACGGTGGAGCCCCAAGGAGGGTGATAAAAACAGGAAAAGGCACCTCGGTGTCTAGTGTTCTGCACCCGGGGAGGCAGGATATACCTGCTGAGTGTTCCCAGAATGTCCCCAAGGAAACCTTTCACCAGAGTCTCTGCAGTTCTTCCATGCTGGGGGCTGGGGGCTGGGGGTGGGGAAAGGTGTACTCAGGGGAGGAGGGGGGAGGGGGCAGGGCTGTGATGCCCAGAGCTGCTGCACCCATTAATCAAGGGCGGCTTACTGCGGGATGGAGGTCAAGGTGAGCTGCCAGGGGCTGTACTCAGGGGTCGGCACAGGGTGACCCGCAGGAGGGGAGTGAGGAGGCCGGGGCTTCATGGCACTGAAACCCTCAGCAGGAACGGGTAGGTGCTTGGGGTGGGGGGGCTAGCTTAGGGTCCTGCTTTGACTGGTTCCATCCATCTGGGTTCTCACTGCCCTGGGATTGAGAACCGCGCTGTGGAGAGGGGCAGCCCCTGGCCCCAGGAAAGGACCCTTTTCAGCGGTGCCCAGGAGGGGGTTGGCAGGGTGGGTGGGGCGGCTCCCAGGAGCGGTTCTCAGAGGGTGGGCCGTGGAGAGAAGGGAGAAGGAAGTGCTTGTTGTCGGTGGGGGAATCAGTCCCCAGTGGGGTCGCCCTGCAAGAAGGCACCGCCGACGAGCAGGCAGGCAGCTGCGGGTGTCCAGGCCGGTGGGGGAGTGACCCACGGAACTTTGCAAAGGGGCCTGCTCCGGGGAGGTCCACCGCCGAGCCGGTTTCTGGAGTCGGGGTGCACTGGCATCTCCCCGGGGGCTGGGGGGCAGCCGGTGAGGGTCTGGACGGCGGTTTCCCGAGCCCAGCGAAGTCCAAGTGGGGCCGAGGGAGAGCCAGAGCGGGAGGGCGCGGACACCCCGTCGCCGTGGGGGACCCACCGAGGCTGCGTACAGGAGGTCGTCTCCACTGGCCGAGACTTCCCGTGCGGAGGGCGAGAGTCCGGAGGGGAGAGCGGGGGAGCCGGGGGCCGGGGGCAGCGCCTTGGGTTCGGAGGGGACCGGGGCCCGAGGGGGCTCCTCGCTCGGGCCGGGCGCAGGGGGGTGCGGCGGGGGGCGCGCGCCACCGGAATATCGGGGCGCCCGCAACTCGGCCGCCGGCCGGCGCGCCGCGGCGGGGGGCCCGGCCCGAGCCTCCCGGGGCCCCGGGACGCGCGCGCGCGGCGGGGCGCGGGGGGCGCGGGCGCCCGGGCGCGCGGGCGGCGCGGGGCTTTATGCGCGCGGGGCGGGGGAGGAGCCGGCAGGTCGGCCCCCGGCGGGCCCTCCCCTCGGCCGTCCCCGCCCGCCCGCCCGCCCGCCCGCCCGCCCGAGCGGGGTCGGGGGAGGGGGCAGCATGGCCTGTCCGTCCGGCCCCCTTCGCCGCGCTCCTCATCTGCCCCGCGCCCCGCGCCCCGCCGCCGCCGCCGCCGCCGCCGCTCCGCCGCCCGCGCCGCCCGCGGCTCCCGATGGAGACCGACGCGCCCCAGCCCGGCCTCGCCTCGCCGGACTCGCCGCACGACCCCTGGTACGGCCCGGCCGCCGGCCCCGCGCCCGCCCGCCAACATGGCCGATCCGGGCCGGCCGGGCCTCCCGGGGCCCGCGCCGCGCCCCCCGCGCCCGCGCCCGGCGCTCACGCGGGCCTTTGTGTCTCTGCTCCTCCCGCAGCAAGATGTTCGTCGGGGGACTCAGCTGGCAGACCACGCAGGGTGAGCGGGCGGGCGCGCCGGCCGGGCCCGCGCCCCGCGGGACCCCGCGCCGCGCCCCGCGCCCCGCGCCCCGCGCGCCGCCCGGACCCGGCGCGCCCGCCCGGAGAGCGGCGCGGCGCGGCGCGGCGCACCCGGCCCGGCGGCGGCGGCGGCGGCGGCGGCGGGCGGCGGCGGGCGGGCGCGGGCGCCGGGCACCTCGGGGGCGCGCCGGGCCCCGGCCGCGACTCCGCTCGCACCTGCGGCTCAAACTTTTGCGAGGCGCCTCCGGGGGCGGCGGGAGCCCGGCCCGGGGCGCGCTGGGCGGGGGGCGCGGGCCGGGGGCGGGCGGGGGCGCGCGGCCCGCGCCGGTCCGAAGGCGGGTGTGTGGTTGCAGAGGGGCTGCGCGAGTACTTCGGCCAGTTCGGGGAGGTGAAGGAGTGCCTGGTGATGCGGGACCCCCTGACCAAGCGATCCAGGTGAGCCCCGCGCCCCGCGCCCCCGCCCCGCCCGGCCCGCCGCCGCCGCCGCCGCCGCCGCGTGACCCTCTGCCTCTCCCTCCCCGCGGCGCGCAGGGGCTTCGGCTTCGTCACTTTCCTGGACCAGGCGGGGGTGGACAAAGTGCTGGCGCAGTCGCGGCACGAGCTCGACTCCAAAACAGTGAGTGCCCCCGGGGCGCCCGCGGGTGGCGGGGGGCGGGAGGCCGCGCGCGCCGGGAGAGGGTCGGGCCGGGAGCGCGGCGGCCTGGGGGGCTCGCGCCGGCCAAGGGCTGCCCAGACGCGAAAACTTTGTGGCAGAGGGAGGAGAACGTGCCTGGGCGCGCTGAGATGCTGCCCCCCATCCCTCAGAGTTGGGGCCGTGTCCACACCCCCGCCCCCAAGTACGACTCCGGCCGTCCGGACCGGAGCTTGGGGTGGCGCGAGGCCCCCCCAGCCCGAAGGGGCTGAGTCAGGCCCCCGCCCCGTGACTTTGGTGGACTCGAGCTAGGATTCGGTGTACCCGCCCCCGCGCCGCCAAGCAAAGCAAAGCGTCCCGGAGACGGCCCCCCCACCGCCGTCCTCTCCTCTCCCCCTGACTTGAGGTCCAGGAGCGTCTTGCTTTGTGTGCGAGGCGCAGACCTGCTGTGCCCCTGGCTTTGCCCCTGATTTATGAGAAGGGAGCTAGCTTGCTGGGAAAGGCGCTCCTGAGGGCTGCAGGCTGAGCAGAAGCTGCTGGCTTGGCATCCAAACTCCCGGAACATTTGGCCTGCCCGGCGCACCGGTCCCCCCAGCCCAGGGCCCTGCAGGGGGCGCTGGCCTCGACCAGGCCCCAGCCCAGGGAAGAGGGAGAAGGAGAAAGTCAGAGGAGGGGTTGCCCTGCGATGGGGTGACCCGCTTCCAGGGCGCCGGAACACTGAGACCTCTCTCCACACTCCCCCACTCTCCGCCCCCCCCCCCCCCCCCCCAGCCCTGGGCCTCCCAGCTCGGGTCAGTCACTGGCTCCTGTTTACCTGCAACAATAGCTGGTTGTGCCCAAGAATTTGTTAAATTACCGCCTGTCCCCGGCTCCTGTTATCTCTGCCCAGTGGCTCCCACTCCCGGTTTGCGGTAATGAGCGAATGGGGCCAGGCCTCAACTTTTGCCCAGCTCTGACTGAGTGACCCAGCCTGGGAATGGAGAGACAGTGGCCTATTGTTTTTGGTGATTATCTGCCATCAGGCTGCCTGTGCTGCTACCATCCCCTGTCCTCACAGTGCAGTGCCGGCTTCTGCCGCGCGCAGGAAGCAGAGATTCAGGAGGGGGGGCCGCCAAAATGGGGGGCACAGCAGATGGAGAAGGGGAGAGAGAGAGGGAGAGAGAAGAGGCAGACCAACCGGGAGCTGGGCCTCCTTCTGAGGTTTGGGACTGGCGAGGGGCGAAAGGGCTTGCTTTGTGTCTGGAGCTCCTGGGCCTGGCGAGGAGGGCCAGGCGGGAGGGTTATTGTGGGGAGTCTATTTTGGGTTCTGACTTTCACCTTTTATTTACTTGTTGGGCTTTATGTATGCTGCCAGCTGTGAGTCAGAGGTGGGGCGTGGCGGGGATGGGGCGTGCGTGGTCTGTGGGCCACGGCATGGGTACCATCCGCCCGGGAGGGTGTGTGCAGGGGACTGTGCGGTGTGTTCTGGAGGTTGGGGCTGCCGCCTCTGGGAGGACCGTGGAGAATGTCGGAGAGGGGAGAAGTTCCACTGACCCCAGGGAACAGCGCGGGCGGGGAGCTCTGATTTTTCTGTGGACCCAGGCGGAATGGGGGGGAGGGCTACCCCCGTGTGAACTCAGGAGGTCGATCCCTGGCAGGTTCCCGTGGGCAAGGCAGGACAGTGGGAGACTGCTTCATGCACTCGGGCGGAGGACGCCAGGGCCAGCTGCTTAGAACGAGGCTGAGTTTTGAACAGAAGGAACTTTGGGAAAAGACAGATTCTTCCCCGTGATTGGCTGGGGAACTTCCGAGCGCAGGCCAGCGGGCGGGTGGCCAGAAGCTGGCGTGACCGGGCCTCAGCGTTCCAGATCTAGGACAGGGGCTCCGGCTTTGCCGTCGGCCAGCATGGGGACAGCCCTGGAGTCCCCCCATGCGCCTTTTGCTCTTCCACGCTGGTTGTTCACTGCCAAGGGCAAAGGTGACCCGCTGGTGCTCGCACCTGTGTTTGTGCAATGCCGGGCCTTTCATAAAGGGCTGCTTGCGCCCACGTGACCTCTCTGATTCCCCCACAGCTGCCCCTGGGAGAAGTGGGTGTGGCTGTCCCCACTTTGCAGATGAGGGAACTGAGGCTCGGAAGAGGGCCTGGGGCAGTAGCACAGTGGGTAAAGGCACTCGCCTGGCATGGGCTGACCTAGGTCCACTCCGCCCCTCCCCCGTGCCCCATAAGGACCCCTGAGGTCGCCAGGAGTGATCGGAGCATCGTCAGGTGTGGCCCCAAAACAAACAAAACAAGAACAGAGGGTCAAGCAAGTTGTTGCGGCCTGTGGGGGCTTGGAGTGGCAGAGCCCGTGCCCCCCGCCGTGTCCTGGGGCGGTTCTAAGGCCTTCTCTGCCCTCCCCCTGGCCCGGCTGCTGGTTGCTTATGGCATCAGGGGACAGAAGTTCGTCTGCTCCTGTGGTTTCTTTTTCTTTTTTCTTCTTTTTTTGGGGGAGGGGGGCGGGTCACACCCGGGGATGCCAGGGGTTCCTCCTGCCTCTGTTCTCAGGAATTACTCCTGGTGGTGCTCAGGGGGCCATGTGGGGTGCTGGGGATTGAACCTGGGTTGGCCCCACAAGGCAAGCGCCCTCCCCACTAGCCTGTGGCTCTGGCCCTGCTCCTTGGGTTTCTGCACCCTCGTCTCAAGGCCTTTTTCAGGCATAGGGTCTTATCGGCAAGGCTTTTGAGGGGGGTCGTCTGCACGGTCAGCTGGCTGGGGGAAGGGTCCCAGGACACCTGGTGCGTGAGGGCCTCAGACTGGGTTTTCCATCTCTCTGGTTCTTGACTGGGAGCGAGACCCCTTGCCAAGTGGTTTTGGAGTCCCAGCTCCAAGAATCCACAGACGACCCCATGAGGTGGAGCTCAGGTACTGATCTTGCAGAGACCCTGAGTGAGCGTCCTGGGGGTTGAGAAACCCACCCCAGGGCTCCCAGCAGGGAGGCTGCTTAAGGGGGATTCAAACCCAGCAGCCAGTTCTCAGGCACCTCGAGCTTAGTCAGGACACTTAGCTGTCTGGTGTGGGGTGAGACCCCGTCACCTCTGTGTCCCCTCTGGCCGGGATCAGAGAGAGCCTCAGGTGTCAGGGCTGTGCGTCCCCCGCCCCCTCCGTTTGAAGTAGGCTAACCCAGACCTCTTCTCCCCTGCGTCTCTTGCAGATTGATCCCAAGGTGGCCTTTCCTCGGCGAGCACAGCCTAAGGTGAGTGTCTCTGTGGCCAGAAGCAGCTCTATCCCGGTGGGCCCCATCTTCCCAGCATGCCTGTCTGTGAAAGATGCTACTGGATCCTCTGAGCGCTTCTGGGATGTGTGTGTTGGGGGTGGGGGAGGGGGCGGGGTGGTCCTTGATGTCCTCGCTCTGCCGTTTGGAGACACCGTGTCTTTCTGTTGGCTGTGCTCTGGGGAGCGAGTGAGGGGCTGCGTTGTTGGGAGAAAGCAGCACCCCTCAGAATCTGTCCTTGAGCCTCTCTTTAAGTGGCCCTCAGGCATCACCTCCTCTGTGCTCAGGGACAGGCTGAGCCCGTGGCTGAAGAGCTCGGGGACCCCCTCTCCCACGCACCTGCCTTCCTCTGGGGTGTGGAGTCTTGGGTTTGCAGAGGAGGGTGGGAAGTTTTTCCTGTTGTGTTTCAACTTGTGTAGCTGGCCGCCCTCCCAAAGTCTTGTTCCCCTGATGCTCAGGCGTGTGTGTGTGTGTGTGTGTGTGTGTGTGTGTGTGTGTGTGTGTGTGTATGTGTGTATGAAAGTGATTTCTGGACAGTTGAGCCTACAAAATTGGGTGCGGGGCAGATCCTGTTGCAGACCCTAGGACAGTTAGCCGGGTCTTTGTGGAAGCTGCCAGGTTCAAGGGGACAGTAGAAGGAGCCAGGCCCACCCCCGCCCAAACCCCGGGCTGGGTCACTTCTCATGTGTCCAAAGTCTTGGAGCCCATTACGCACCCAGCTCTTGCCACACAGAAAGGGGGAGATGTTTCAGCAGACAGGAAAGGGCATCTCGGGCTGGGTCCAGCAGAGGACCTGAAAGCAATTACGGGGCAGGTATTCGAAGGAAGCCGCACCAGGGAGCACATGGTCGGAATTGGGTTAATTCCATTAAGCAGTTTGGTGACAGAAGGTGCTTTAGTGTTAGGATGGGGCTGGGAATTGCCGTGGATTAGCCATGCGCTCCTGGGGTAATTAGGACCATGTGTTCGTCCTAAAACAGGACTGGGCCACGGGGCTGCCAGAGGTGGAGTTGGGAGGAGGCAGATGGAGAAAATGTCGACGACACTGAGCTCGGGGGGTCCAGGGATGTGCTCGGCCTCCCCCAGGGGAGGTCTGGTGGGGTCCCGGGAAGGCTGCAGGCCTGGGCTCGTCCACCTGCCCCCTTCCTGGGGTGGATCTTCCCAGAAGGGCTTTTCCCATCCCAGACCTCAGGGAGGGAGGCAGGAGGGAGCACCTCCCGCCAGCCAGGATGTGGGCGCACAGCTGCCCGTGACAGGGCTCTAGGCAGGGGTCCCAGGGGGAGCCCGGGGGGCCTTCCGAGTCGCCGGGGCACCGAGAGCTTGGCAGCTGGCCCTTGGCGGGAGGGCTGGAGCCCCTGCTGGTGGCAGTAGGCCACACGCCTCAGATGCCCACCGTCTCCTTCCCTTTCCTCGACAGATGGTGACTCGGACGAAGAAGATCTTCGTGGGGGGGCTGTCGGTGAACACCACGGTGGACGATGTGAAGCAGTATTTTGAGCAGTTCGGAAAGGTGGGTGAGGATGGTGCCTGCCGGCCGCCCTCCGGGGCCTGTGGCCTGGATCGGAGCGGGGTGGGGGCGGGGAGGGTGCCCAGCAGGTCATTCCAGTTCCTGCAGAAGGTGAGAAGGGAGCCGGGGCCCTCTGTGGGTGAGGCCCAGCCAGCCTCCTCCAGCTCCGGTGCCTCGGAGCCTGGCCACATCCCCAGGGAGCCCGGCCACACTGTCGCGGGCCCTGTTGTCACCCTTCCCTGGTGTTTTTCTCCTGCTTATCTTTCCTCTCCCCGGGGAGGCCACACTGCTCCGCAGCCAGTTCAATCCAGTCCCCTGGGCCTCCTGGGAGTTTGCACCTGTCCAGGCCGCGGCCGGGCCGTTGTGCCTTGCTAGTGGGGATGATAAGGAGGCAATAAAGGCGACTCCCGGCGCGGCCTGCACAGGTGGAGGCTGGGTGTGTGGGAGAGAGGTGGGTGCCCCTTCCCCTCACTGAGAGGGAGGGCGAACGCTCTAAGCTCCTCCGGGGGTGGAGAGGGCGGGCGGGTGAGGTGTGTGAGGTGCAACGCTGGCTGTGGAGGATGTGGGTCCGGGAGAGAGGAGGGGGGTCCCCAGAGAGGCGAGCGGCTTGGGACCATGGCGAGATGCCCGGGGGAGGCAGTGGGTGCTGGCTTGGCGTCTCAGGCTGTTGGCCAGTACTGGCTGGGGCTGGGGACCGGGCAGGCAGAGGACAGGACAGATGGACAGGCAGAGCCCAGAGGTGGCTTGGGCCACGAGCCACGGCGGGACTGGAGCCTGGGTGCGCGGCACGGCCGGTGGGTGGGTGGGAGGCCCCGGGCCGGGCGGCCCGGGGCGCGGGACGACAGGTCGGGGGCCGGCCCCGAGGGAAGGGCGCTCCTGGGAAGCGCAGGCCGCTCGGCTCCGGCGGGGTGTCTTTGTGTCTGAGCGCGGAGCATTAGAGCTCGCACTAATCTGATCCAGCAGCTGTGATTGGAGGCCGCCTGCCCCCGGGGCCGGCGTTGCCACGGCAACCGGGCCCCAGGAGAAGCCGTCAGCGGCCGCGTCTTTTGTTCGGGCCTAAATCGGCGTTGGCATGTGAAACCGGCCCGGGGAGGCCAGGGGGAGCCGGAGAATAGGCTGCCAGGGAGTGAGGGGGACAGCCGGGAATGCCAAGGGCCCCGCGGCGGGGGTGGGGGTGGGGACCCCCGCCCGATCGAGGGGCCGCCGCCACCGCCGAGGGGGAACAATGGTCAGCCGCCATGGCTGCCACTCAGGCTTAGCGCCCGAACTTGGCGGCTCCCACTGGTCAGCGGGGCTGGCCGCCTCCCCTCCCCCGCGCCCGCGCCCCCCCTGCCCCCGGTTCCCATGGAGACCAAAGCCTATTAAGGACACTGGGCCTGGAGCCTCCCTCCCCTCAGCTGGCCCCAGGAGGGGACACTGGTGGGGGTCCCCTGGACCCTCATGCCCCTTCCCTTGCAGCGGTGCCCTGGCCTCAACCCCACGGGGCGAGGGGGGGGGGGTCTGTCCAATGGAGCCCAGGGCCAGTGACATTGGGAGTGGGGGTGAATACAGGGAGGAGGGCCGCCCTCCCCCCAACCGGGTTGGGGCTGAATTAGTTTGTGGGTCAGGCAGGAACTTGAAACTGGAGCAGTGGGAAGGAGGGCGTGGCTTTCCTCCACCCGTCCACCCATCCATCCATCCATCCAGCCATTCATTCATTCATTCAGCCCTCAGTGGCCAGGCAAGGTGCTGGATGGAGCAGCTTGCTCGTCACAGGCGCAGGCCTGGCTCTGACCTCCCAGAGCAGCCAGGGCCAGCAGCATAGCCCAGTGTGGGCCTCAGTGCCCCCAAGTGACCTGAGCAAGCCCTGCCTGCGTCAAGGGAATAGCAGGAGCGGCTAGTCAGCTCCTACAGTATGGCAGGTCCAGGGACACAGAAGCCCATTCGACACCAGACCCACGTCAGGGGGCCGGAAGTCCCTCGCCTGGCGGGACCAGCAGCAAGCAGGGCCCGCAGCTCCGGGCTGTCTTTCTGTCCTGCGCTGAGCTGGTGTTCCGGTCTGTCCTTCCTACTTTCCGGCTCCATCTCTTAGCGCGGGGGGGAGGGGGTGGGGGGGCGCGGAGTGTGGCGGCCCCGGTTCGGAGGGTCTCACTTGTTTGGGAACGTTCAGATGAAGGTGGCACTCCGCTCCAGGAGAGGGGACCAGGGAGCCGCTGGGGGAGGCTGGTGTCATCCTCGGCCCCCCAGAGTCCCCAGGGAGGGGCGAGGGGTCCTGCTGTTCCCAGGGCCACATCAGAGACCTGAGCTTGAGCTGCCGGAGCCCCCGGTTCAGGACAGGAGAGTCTGCATTCATTACCCCGCCACCCCACTCAGGAAGTCTTCCTTCTGTCATTGGGTGTCTGACCATGTGAAGGGGGGTGGTCAGTAGCCTGGGGGGACAGGCATCAGAGGCACTTGGGTCTGCCACCCGGGTGCCCCAGACTCGGCTCACCCCCATGAGACAGCTGCCAGGGCTGAAGAACCAGGGGACAAGCGGCGGATGGGGCCCCGGGAGGGAGCGCCGAGGGGAAGCTGGAAGTCAGCTGCCCACGGGTCCCGGGGGTGCCTGGGGGCAGCAGGCAGAGAAGGCTGGCCGGAGTGGGCAAGGTAACGCGTCCCTTTCCTCCGGCCCGCACCCCTCCCCCGTCAGTGGGAGGCAAACGGCCCAGGCCCTGAACTCGACTTGCTTTAATTACAGCCTCTAGCAAGAGGAAACCTCAATTAGAGGGGCAGCTCTGTACCGGAGAGGGAGAGGGGGGCGTCTGGCAGAGCCGTCCCTGGCTCAGAGGGATTTGCTCCTATCCTGCCCCCCACCAGCACCAGCCCTGCACCCCCTCCCAGGTTGGTCCTGCTGAGCCCGTTTCCTTGCCTCCACAGGAGGCTCCCAGCCAGCACTGGACAGAGGGTGATGGGGACGGGCAGGTCCCAGGAGTGGCTCCGTGCAGACAGGCCCATGAGGATCCCGGGGCGGGGGGCCGGCACTGGACAGTGGTCCCCTGCCCCGCCCAGGGAGATGGGGTGCAGAGAAGGCCCGAGCTGCGCTGGGCGCGGCAGGAGAGGGCTGCAGGACCCTCTTCCTGGCCGGGGCCAGCAGCTCCTGCCATCTGGTGGGTCTTCCACGGCAGCCTCTGTTCCAGGTGGACGACGCCATGCTGATGTTCGACAAAACCACCAACCGGCACCGAGGTGAGCGGCGCGCCCTCCCCCACCGGCCCGGCTGTGGTCAGCCAGGGGGCCTGCAGGTCACGGTTGCCCTTTCATCTCGCCTCCCGACATCCTATCCCGAGGATCTGCATCCTCTCCCGGGCCTGGCCTTACAGAGGGCTTTTGTCCCCCGGCTTCCTGTGCTAGACACTTGCCGAATTGCAGACCGCCCAGAGGAGCGGCCTCCGCTCGCCGGCCACCCCCGCCACAGCCCTGCCTGCCCGGTTGCCGTGTCCATGGGGCTTACCACGTCCCCGATAAGCAGAGCCTGAGTCAGGCCACCCTGAGTCAGGCCGACTGTACCACAGTGTCCGCAACCACTGCGGCCCTCGCCCCGGAACCTGCCAACATCTGGGCCAGCATCTTCCTCCCGAGGGGCTCCCCTGCCCTCTGCGGCATCCCGCCTAGCCCTTGGCCCGTCCTTGGGTGGGGGGAGGGTACACCCAGGAGAGAGGCTTCAGGGCTCGTGGGGGATAGGGTGTGTGGTGTGGTGTGTGTGTGTGTCTGTGTGTGTGTGCGCGCATGAAGGGTCTGAATAATTACATGTCTGAGTATCAGGGTAGCTGTGTATGGGCAGAGGCCTTTGTGGACAGTCTAATCTACGAACATTTAGGGCCATGTGCATGTGTGTATGTGTGTGCCTGGGTTTCTGCGTGTGGGTCTTTGCATCATTCTGGATAATTGTGTGTGTGTCCGTGTATCCTTTCTTCTGCTTTAAAAAGCATCGGAGGCAGAGAAAAGGCCCAAGGAGGGGCTTTTCCTCACAATGCTGCCTTCTCTGTATTGTAATTTGGTTTATTCATTCATTTATTGGTTTGGGGGCCACACCTGACTGTGCTTTTCAGGTACTGCCCCTGGCTTTGTGCCAAGGCCATTCCTGGCAGGCTGCGTGAGGCCAGCGCCATCCCCGCTGCACTGTGGCTCTGCCCTAACACTGTGGGGTGACCCTCGGCCAGTCACTTCCCTGCTCTCTTCGAGGGACTGAAGACCCCTGTCTGGGGGAGGGGCCGGGAGGGAGTGGTGCTCGCAGGCCTTGGGCAGAGCCTCTCCTGAGCTCCCTGATGCTGTCCGGCCCGACGCAGAGCTGGACTTGGTTCCGACCCGGTTCTGACCAGGCTGTTCTACCTTGACCATCCTCCAGGGTTTGGGTTTGTCACGTTTGAGAGTGAGGACATCGTGGAGAAAGTGTGTGAAATCCACTTCCACGAGATCAACAACAAAATGGTGAGCTGGGAACGTGCGCGGACAGGGGGGACGGGAGAATCCAGAAGGAGGCCCAAGCACCCCAATACGAGGAGGCCTGGCCAGCACCCCTCCCTGGCTCGACCACTGAGTGTCAGAACAAATGACTCCCAGGCATTGGACAGTGAGGTTCCCCCTGCCGCCCCTCCACCCGACTCAGTGTTCTCGGCTTCAAAGGGGAGTGGCAGTAGCGTCCTCATCACAAGGGTCAGGTTGAACAATCACACGCACAGCGCCTCGCATGGCGTGGGCGTTTTATTGACAGTAACCCTGCTATTTAATACCCAGGCCTGGGGCTGGAGCCAGAGGACAGCAGAGAGGGCTTGCAGGCCGCCGACCTGGATTCAATCCCCCCATCCCACGTGGTCCCCTGAGCATGGCCCAGAGTGATCCTGAGCTGAGGGCCAGGAGCAAGCCCTGAGCTCTGCCAACTGTGGCCCCCAAACAGACAGACAGACAGATCACTTCCCGGGCTTGTGTGGTGGCCAGTGGCTGCAGACTGACCCCGTTGTGTTGCAGGTGGAATGTAAGAAAGCACAGCCTAAAGAGGTGATGTCTCCGACGGGCTCTGCCCGGGGCCGGTCACGAGTCATGCCGTACGGAATGGACGCCTTCATGCTGGGCATCGGCATGCTGGGTATGTGCTTGCCCGCCCCTGTGGCTTCTTCCTGCTTAGGACTTTGCTCCCGGCTGCCCGGGACTGCGGCCTCGATGCCCTCCGCGGTCCGTCCTCCTGCCTGGGAATGGGAACCAGCCAGCTCAGAGTATCCTAGACTGGGGGGGAGCTGCCCTCTGGTGGTGGCTAGGAGAACAAGCCTGCACCACCCGGACCTGGCCAGCCTTCCCTCGGAGCGTGTCCATCCGTCTGTCATCTGTCTGTCTGTCTGTCTGTCTAGAAAGCGGTTGCTGAGCCTCTGTAAATGTCAGTCTCGGGGCCAGGAAGTGCCGCAGCGCCTCTGCTTGGCGCTTGCTGGTGCGGCAGGACCAGCAGAGAAGGGAGAGTGTCCGTAGGCGGGTGGACAGTGCCAGCACACACCTCAGGGACCCTCACCTGGACACGGACACCGAGAAGTGGGAGAAGCAGCTTAAAGTGGAGGCCGCGGAGCTGAGTGGCAGCCCAGGAGGGGAGAGAAGGAAGAGGGAAAGGGGTGAGGAAGAGCTAGCAGAGTGGCCGTGGAGAGCCCGCCAGGCCGGCTGCTGCCCTTTCACGCCCCACGTAGGCAGAGAGCCGGGCGGCCCCCTCGGGTGGGGCCAGGGCACACCGCAGTGTACCCCACGTGGAAGCAGTCAGAGGCTGTGGGGACCTGGGGGCGGCTGGAGCAGGAGGCAGCTTGCAGGAGGTGAAGGCTGCAGAGAGCCCAGCCCGGGGAGCTAGGACTCACCGTCGCCTGGGGCCCTGGACCCAGGCCCAGAAATCTGAGCTGGTTCCCCACGAGCTCCAGTCTCCCTGGAGAGACACGGCGCCCAGAAAGAGGACAGGGCCAGGGAGCAGCACGGGGCCTGGCCAGGAGGAGTGGGAAGGAGGAGCGTCCCCTCCAGCTGGACCAGGCTCTTTACTCAGAGGTCAGAGAGACGTTTAGCAGCTAGGATTGCCGCCTTCAACACAGCCCACCTCAGCATCCCACATGGTCCCCAGAGCCTGCCAAGAGGGTCCCCGAGCACAGAAGCAGGAGTAAGCCTTCATCCCAGTCGGGAGTGCCCGAGAGATGGTACAGCAGGTAAGGCGCTTGCCTTGCGTGCATCCCATATGGGCCCCTGAGCACCGCCAGGAGTGAAGCCTGAGTATCGAGCTAGGAGTGACTCCTGAGCATCTCCAGGCGTGGCCAAACGATTGAAAACAAACAGCGACGCCAACAACAAAAAACCACCCAAGTAGGCAGGATCTTTTCTTGAGAAGTTTTTCTTAAACGTTAAGTTGAAATTTTCAAAAGATCTGCAGACAGCGGGAGGGAGGCGTCAGTTCAGTGCTAGGGCACTTGCCTGTCGTGTGCGAGGCCCTGGGAGCACTCCCCGGCAGGGCGGAAACAGCAAGATCTAAAAATGTGTAACAGTGCAAGAACATCTGCGTACCTTTTCCCAGAGTCTCCTGGGGTTAATATGGTACCCCATTTTGCTTTATCGTTTTCTCTCTGTTTATATGTGCATATTTGTGTGTATGTGTGAGATATGTGTAGATACACATATGTGCATATACACATACATGTTTCTCTTGACTAATTTGAGAGCAATTACTATGTTTTGACTCCTAATCCATAAATACGTCAGTGCCCGTTTCCTGCGATGAGGAATGTCACTGTCACTGTCATGGTCCTCCCGTTATTCATCGATTTGCTCGAGCGGGCCCAGTAACGTCTCCATTGGAGACTTAGTTGTTACTGTGTTTGGCATATCGAATACGTCATGGGGAGCTTGCCAGGCTCTGCCGTGCGGGCGAGATACTCTCGGTAGCTTGCCGGGCTCTCCGAGAGGGGCGGAGGAATCGAACTCGGGTCGGCCATGTTGGCTACGTGCAAGGCAAACGCCCTACCGCTGTGCTATCGCTCCAGCGATGAGGAATACTGTTTATGTATTTAATTATTTATTTCTTGAGGGGGGTGGGGTGGAGAGACTTGGGCCATGCCCGGCAGTGCTCAGGGGTACTCCTGGCTCTGCTCGTGTGTCACTGCTGGTGGTGCTGGGGGGACCAGATGTGGTTCCAGGGGTCAGACCCAGATTGGCTATGGGCAAGTCAAGCGTCCTAGCTGATGCATGATCCCACCTCCCCAGGTTATTCTTTTTATTGTCTCCTTTAATATTTGGGGATGATCCTGGTGGTGCTTGAGCTCCACCCAGCCCTGTGCCCAGTTGGGGGTGGGTCCTCAGCCTCTCGAGTGTTCTCTCTGGCCCCTAGGACTAAGGATATTCTTTTATGCGACCACAGTATTGTTATCAGCGTCATCAACGAGAATCAGCGTAACATTTTTATAGAACTTGTTATTTCTGATTTTGTGTGTGTTGCCAAGGATTGACCCCAGGGACTCGCACTCACAGTGCCCGTGCTCAACTCCAGAGCCGTATTCCCAGTCCCATTCCAGTGCTGTTCTTGGCAGCATACTTTTGCCTTCCAAACATGATCTGGGTAAGAATCAGCTATCGCATTTAGTTGTCAGATCTCGTTTGATCTGGAACATTGAAAACATCTTCTTTTTCAGGCAGTTCACTTATCAGAGAGAGTCCATGGGCTGGGGGCAGGTTTGCATGTGGAGCCCAGGCATCATCCCCAGCACCACGCCGTCCTCTGAGCGCCGCCAGTGGTATAGTCTGGCCCTGGTGTTGCTGCCTGGCACCCCACACCCACTGAAAAAGTAGGGACAGAGCAGGACCAGAGAGGTGGCTCAGAGGGGTGGAGACCATTTTCGTATGCAGGAGCCCCGGGCTTTGTGCCTCACAGCACACTGGCTGTTGCCAGGAGTCGCCTCTAAAACCGAATAATACAGTGAGATTAAGAGAAAAGGTAACGTGCCACATACAACAGCCGGGGGTGCAGTGTTTGAGAGAGGGGGGTCCCTAGCTCACCGGGGCCCCCGGGAGGGGAAAACAGAGAAGGAAAGAAACCTCGGGGAGAAGAAGAGACAGACAAGAAGCAGTGGGGCAGGGAGGGCAGGCACAGGGGTACTGTGAAAGGGTGGTCTCTTAAAGGTCCAGACCAGAGAGCCAGCAACACTGAAAACAGGAGCTACAACAGCCAAACTTAGAAACTTGCCTGGGGGCCGGAGCGATGGCACAGTGGGAGGGTGTTTACCTTCCACACAGCCTACCTGGGTTCAGTCTCAACACCCCTACGGTGCTCCGAGCACCATCAGGAGTGACCCCTGAGCGTCAGTGCCTGGGAGGGTGACAGACTGGGGGTGGAGAGGGTGGAAGGAAGCCTGGAAGCCCTGGGTGGGAGAGGAGGACCCTGGCGATTGGGTTGGTGCTGCAGCGTGGTATGTCCAAAACTCTGCTAGGAATGACTTTGCAAATCATGGAGTTTTAATGAATCTTTATCTTTTGGGCGGCCTGGGCAATGCTCAGAGTCTCCTCCTGGCTCTTTGCTGTACTGGCTCTCTCCAACCTCTAAAAATATTTTTAGTACAGCGGGTAGGGCATTTGCCTTGCATGCGGCCGACCTGAATTCAATCCCTGGCATCCCATATGGTCCCCCGAGCACTGCCAGGAGTGACCCTGAGCATCGCCGGGTATAACCCAAAAAGCAAAAAAAAAAAAAAAAAAAGACCTGGGAAGGTAACGGTGGCACCTCTGCCCAGCATGTGCTGAGTTCTGTCACTGCTACTTGTCTCTTCAGCCCCAGCACAACTGGGTTTGGCCTAAGTGGCCCCAACACCACGAGTCCTGAACTCCAGACCCCCTGTACTGTCGCTCCGGCCCAAATAGACTGATGGGAAACTCTTAGCCGGAGCAGTAGCACAGCAGGGAGGGCGCTGGCCTTGCACGTGAGCAACCCTGGTTCGATCCCTGGCATCCCATATGGTCCCCTGAGCCTGCCAGGTGTGATCCCTGAGCCAAAAATACAAGCAAAAATAAATCTCTTGAGGACTGGAGAGGTAGGGTACTTGCCTTTCGGCCAACCCGGTTTCAGCCCCCAGCACCCCATGTGACCCTGATCCAGGACTGATCCCGGAATAAGCCAGGTGTAAGCTCTGATCATCCCTGGCTGTGCACTCCTGACCCCCCCAAAAAATGCCACCGATTTGGCATAGGACTTACTTAGCCCGCAAGAATATGGGGGTGAGGTGCTAGAGCAATAGCACAGCGGGGAGGGCGTTGGCCTTGCACGTGGCTGACCCGGGTTCGATTCCCAGCATCCCATATGGTTCCCCGAGCACCGCCAGGAGTAAGTCCTGAGTGCATGAGCCAGGAGTAACTCCTGTGCATCACCAGGTGTGACCGCCCCCCAAAAAAGAATATTGGGGTTACTCATCGCATACGTGGGCGGGGGGTGGAGCTCATGGCCTGGACCCTTCCCACGGAGCTGGGTCTGAGCTTGAGACGTGACCTGTGACTCTCACTTCCCTTGTCACCTCAGGTTACCCTGGTTTCCAAGCCACAACCTATGCCAGCCGGAGTTACACGGGTCTTGCTCCTGGCTACACCTACCAGTTCCCCGGTAAGTCCTTGCCGGCGCGTGCCCACTTCCCGGGTGGTGTCGGAGGGTGCATGGCGGACCCTGCCTGCGGGCGGTCTGGAAGGAAGGGCATGTCTGAGAAGCGCCTCTCCCCCCCTTCCCTTCTCTCCCGCCCCCTCTCCTGGCCAGGGGCTCCCTCGTGGCTCTGCATGGTGTCACCACCCCCAGGCCCGTCACTGCCTCCCCCCCCCTCCCACCCCACTCAGGGGTTGCCACTTTCACCTACGAGGGCACTGGACTTGGGGGGTCCTCCCCAGCGGCCCATGCTGAGTTTTCTCTGGATGGACACATGAGACTCCAGCCCGAGAGACCCTTCAGAAGCACTGCACTCCCCACCTTCATTTGTAATTCAAAATAAAAATAACAGCAGGCCCGAAAACAAGAGGCTGAAAGCCCAGCAGAATTCCAAACTTTCTCACTATGACCATTCAGTGTTGTTTTCCTTGAACTATCAAGTATCATTGTTTTTCCAAGGGTGTTTTTTTTTTTTTTTTTCTCTTTGGGTCACACCCGGCGATGCACAGGGATTGCTCCCAGCTCTGCACTCAGGAATGACTCCTGGCAGTGCTCAGGGGAACCTATGGGATGCTGGGAATCGAACCTGGGTTGGACGCGTGCAAGGCAAACGCTCCACCCCCTGTGCTGTCACTACAGCCCCTTTCCAAGGGTTTTATCCGCCACCCCCTCTTGTTTAAAAGTGTCCTAAGCATTTTCTGCCCTGCCTCTTGGGCTGTCCGGCCTCAGCCCTGACCGGAGCCTCCTGGAGGAACAGCTGTTCCCCCCTTTGTAGGAAAGCGAGGGCAAAGCTTGCTGCGACCAGGCCCAGCACTTGGAAGCCAGTCATGGTCTCACTCGCGGTCGCTAATCACCCATGCTCCCCTCCTCGTTCCCCGAGAGACTCAGGAGCAAGGGATTCTGGGACACGGCTTGGGATTGCCTCGGCGCTTTGACGACCCCTTGGGAGTGCTCAGTCCAGCATCAGCCTGTGCCCAGGGTCCAGGTGGCAACTCTGCCCATTTCCTCTTTCCTTGTCTCTGCCCGTCTTCTTCTCCACACCCTCTCTGCCTGCTGGACTGTTCTCTCCCTGCCCCAGCTCTTGGGTCCTTGCATGGCCTCTCCCCCCAGTGTCCCTCCCCCCCAGCGTCCCTGTGGGTGCATTGCCCGCCCTGGGCCGTGCCCAAGTCTCCCCTGCATCTTCCTAAGCTGTTTTACGTTTCATTTTAGAATTCCGTGTAGAGCGGACCCCTCTCCCGAGCGCCCCCGTCCTCCCCGAGCTTACAGGTCAGTCGCTCGGATCTCGTGCACCTCGCAGGCCTCTTGGGGAGAGAGAAGGCCCCAGGGACCTTCCCAGGGAAACCTGGAGGGTCCCCACTCTGCCCGCCAGCCCTTGTCTGCAGGGAGACGGCAACCTGGACCCTCACAGTGCCAGCCCGGGGGGCAGATGGCCAGTCCTGGCAGACGGTAGCGAGGTCCCACTCTTCCACTGAGCCTTATTTACCCAGCGCCCCCTTGGACTCGGAGCCAGTGGTCTGCAGGCCGGGGTCTCTCCCATGGAGCCAGGGGACTCCCGGCACTGGGCCCCGGTATCCCTTCTCCCGTGCCAGCCCGCCTTACGGTGGAAGGCAGACCCGGTGCTGTTCAGGCCGCCTCTCTCAAGACCTGCCAGCACCCCAGCTGTGGCACTGGAATGGATCTTTCAAATATTTCCACATGTTGGCAACAGATTCCCGATTTGGAAAGGGCTGTGCCAAGTCAGGGCCGCTGGAGGATGGCTACGTGCCCTCTGGATGCCACTCGGCACCCTCTGGGCAAATGGGGCGCGGGTGCCTGGCTGGCCGAGGTGGGGCCTCACTGGGGCCGGTCTGCCGGGCTAGGAGCTGGGGGTGCAGATGAATCCCAGGCGGGAGGTGTCTGTGTGCAGGTGAGGGGCCCCCGCAGGTGTCTGCCCAACCTGCTTCTCTCCCACCCCACCCAGACCTCCCCCGACCTGGCCGTGTGTGGAGGACGTGAGCGTGGATGTGGCCTTGATGAGATCTTCCTTCCAAGGGGTGCTCAGGGGTGCAAGGGGGACCTGGGTGGTGAAGGAAGGGGGGTGGGGAGGGGAGGGGATAAGGCTTTTCTCGGAGCGGGGGTGGGGTTTGAGCAAATGTGGGGTGAGGGGGTGACCGAACGTGATTTCCACCCGGGAACTCTGCAGGGCTGGGGTGCTGGCTCCAGGGGCACCGGCCGTGCGTGCAGAAGGCCTGAATTTGCTCCCCGCGCCACATGAGCCTCTGAGCACTATACTAAGAGTGGCCCCTGAGCACTGGTCCAGGGTGGCCCACACTCACAGTGCCCCAGACCAGCCCTTGTGGCCCGGTCCCCTCCCGCTGACAGCTGTGAACTCAGGGGCAGAGCATTTGCCTTGCATGTGTCAGGCCCTGCGTTCAACCCCCCACACCACACACACACACACACACACACACACACACACACACTCTGAATAAAACCAAATTAAAAATGGAGGGAAGGGGCTGGAGTGATAGTACAGCAGGTAGGACATTTGCCTTGCACGTGGCTGACCCGGGTTCGATCCCCAGCATCCCATAGGGTCCCCCAAGCACCACCAGGAGTAATTCCTGAGTGCAGAGCCAGGAGTGACCCCTGTGTATCGCCAGTGCACAGAAAAAAAAAAAAAAACAGGGAAGTGCAAGCCTGCAGACGGCGGCAGTGGGCCAGGCAGAGCGAGACTTGGCGGCCCCCAGGGACCAGGTTCTGCGCGACGCTCCTGCCTTCTGCAGACCCGGGGGGTTCCCGCATTCGCTGAGTACTTATCCTGCTGTGGGGCTATCACGGTGAGCAAGGGACCTGCCCCGTGTCCCGGGAGCCTCTGTTTCCACGGAGGGAGACGCGCTTGAGCAAGGACACAAACCTGTAAATGTGAGCGTCTTGGAGGGAGCAGCTCCACCGGAAGGCAGAGGGTGGCGCAGTGCTGAGGGGGCCCGGTTGCCTCAGCAAGAGGGCCGGAGACTTCTCTTCACAGGTGACAGCTGTGGACCCTTAGCAGGGCCTCTCCCTCGACTCTGTGCTTGATGTTTCGTTGTTTGGGGGCCACGTCCAGCTGTGCCCAGGCTTCCTCCTGGCGGTGCTCAGTAATCACTCCTGGCGGGGCTCGGGGGACCCTACGGGTGTTGTGGCTGCATGCAGGGCGAGAGCCCTCCCCACTGGACTGTCTCTCCTGCCCTCCTCCAGGGACTGCAGAGTCCCGGCCTTGTGAGTGTATCCAAAGGGCCTCTTCTGGGGTCGCTCGTGCCAGTTCGGAGCACCCTGTTGGGTGATTCTTCGGCACGGCCCATCCTGGTGTTCTTGGGGACAGGTGCCGGCTCTACAGAGCCTACAGGCTGAGAAGTCAGAGGCCCAGGGCTGGGCTGCACAGTAGGGGGTGCTCCCTCCCAGCTCCGGGCTCAGCCCCCAGTGCTCTTCAGTGGAGTCCCATCTTAAGTGTCTGCTGAGTGCCGGGCCAGGAGCACTGGAGGGCAGGAGTGGACATTTCTGGCTAGGGGGCATGCAGGGTGCAGCTGAGATTCCTCACGTACGCACAGGCTTTGAGGGTCTGCTCCTGGGAAATGGGGAGTGAGGGGTGTGGACCAGGGTGCTGAGGCCCAGAGGGTCTCCTGCTCAGCACTGCCCCTCGGAGGCCCCGCCGAGACATGCCAGCTCTTTGCACCTCCCGCTGCTGCGAGACTGACCCCCCCATACAGGGGCATGAGGCAGTCAGCCCCCCGGAGCTCCGGGATCCGTGGTCTGCTCGGTCGCAGCCCGTTGGGGTCTCGGGCTGACCCCCCTGCACACCCCCAGCCCTGTGTGAGTTTCGGGTTGTTCAAGGGGGTCCCTTGCATCCGGGGAGAAACTGAGGCTGGTCCCGTGGCGGGGACGCCATCCTCCCTCCTTCCTCTCCTTCCTTTCTCCGTCCTGGCTCGGGGCCCGGAAGGCTTCCCGGGGCGGGGATGCTGGCTGAGGAGGTCCAGCGGACGGGGGGCCGCCTCCTCCTGCCTGCGCCCCGCGCCCCGGCTCTGAGCGCCGCCCTTGCCTTACAGCCATTCCTCTCACTGCCTATGGACCCATGGCGGCAGCGGCGGCCGCGGCGGCCGTAGTTCGGGGGACAGGTGAGGCCTCCGTGGGTGCGCGGGGCGAAGCCTAGAGTGGAGGGGGTCAGCCAGGCGCCTCTTTGTAGTTTATTTTGTTCGGGTCTTACTCCTGGCTCTGTGCTCAGGGGTCTGTCCCGGTGGGGCTTGGGGGCCCAGAGTGAGTGCTGGGGTTCATCTCGGGCGTGGTCAGCCGCAGGAGAGGCGTGTGCCGTACCCGCGGGGCTGTTCACTGCTCTAGCCCTGGGCCTCCTTTTCTTTGCTTTTTTGGGCCATACCCAGTGATGCACAGGGGTTCCTCCTGGCTCATGCACTCAGGAATTACTCCTGGCAGTCCTCGGGGGACCATGTGGGATGCTGGGAGTCGAACCCGGGTCGGCCGCGTGCAAGGCAAACACCCTGCACCTGATATGTTATAGCTCCAGCCCCTCCCTTTTTCTTTTTTGGAGGGATTCTCTTACTTTCTCCAAAAGTTTCTTTTGTCTGTTTGGCTTTGGTTTAGGGGTCACACCTGGCGGTGCCCAGGGCTCACTCCCGGCTCTGCACTCAGGAGTTACTCCTGGCGGAGACTGGGGGACCATACATGGTGCCAGGGATAGACCCTGGTTGGCCATGTGCCAGAGAAGCGCCCTGCCTGCTGTTTGGTCGCTGGGGCCCATTTCTCCGAGAGTTTTAACCCAGCTTTAACCTGCTCCATGCCAGGCCCTGTACCCCCACCTGTTGGCACCAGCCCAGGCTGGCGTGGCCCCTGGCCCACTGAGGACATGCCCACTGGGGCACCGGCCCGGTTCTCTGTAGATAGGAAACCTTCCCCGAAACCTGAGGGTCAGGGCGTCAGGTTCCAGAGATGCTTTTCGCGGGGGGGTGGAAGGGGTGGGCTTCCAGGAGGAAGCACGTCTTGACTCCAGGCTGAAGGGGACCAACATGTGCCAAGACCCAGAGCCCAGGGACTGGAGCAATGGTACAGCGGGTAGGGCGTTTGCCTTGCATGCAGCCAACCCGGATTCGGTTCCCAGCACCCCAATGTGGTCCCTGGAGCACCGCCAGGAGTAATTCCTGAGTGCAGAGCCAGGAGGAACCCCTGTGCATTGCCGGGTGTGACCCAAAGAGCCAAACAAAAGACTCGGCCGGTCGGCTGGGGTGGCGCGGAGGAAGGGGGAGGCACAGGGCCCTGAGGTAACGGGGTGGAGCCCAGTGGGAGAAGCTCACTCAGCCTCCCCCAAGCAGCAGGCTGGAGGGACTCGGCTTGGGGGGAGGGCAGGCTCGGGATGGTGGGGTGGACCGCCGTGGGCACCGGGCTATGACCATCTTCTTTCTGGGTTGCCAGGCTCTCACCCCTGGACGATGGCTCCCCCTCCAGGTTCGACTCCCAGCCGCACAGGGGGGTTTCTGGGCACCACCAGCCCCGGCCCCATGGCTGAGCTCTATGGGGCCGCCAACCAGGACTCGGGGCTCAGCAGTTACATCAGCGCTGCCAGCCCCGCCCCCAGCACTGGCTTCGGCCACAGCCTTGGGGTGAGTGCTGGGACTGGCTGCCTCCCCGGCCCCCCCACGGAGAGGCCGGCTGTGTCTCAGGAGGCGGAGGAGGGGCAGGAGCTGTCACCCGCCCGGGTTCTCATTCACTGGGGGGGGGGCGGGGGGGTGAGTTTGGATTTCGTGGGGGCCCTCAGGGTGCCAGCTTTGAGGAGCAGGGGTCGTCACTGTGACTCCCCCGACCTCTTTGTCCCTGCGTGCAGGCTGGCTCCCAGCCGCCTGGATTTTGACCAGCGTGTTGGCCTGTGATATGCCAGTTTCCAGGCATGCTCCAGAGACTCTTGCGAAAGGGGGTGGGGGCCGTGAGACGGCCGGTGAGGGGCGGGCTAGAGACGGGTCTTTGCCCCCGCCCACCCCCAGGTCTCCCATGCCTCCCCCGGCAGACCCAGGAGTCAGATTCTTTCCTTTCCAGGGCCCCTTGATTGCCACAGCTTTCACCAATGGCTACCACTGAAGGAGGCACGACGGAGGCAGGAGGTGAGAGGGGAGACCGCGGGCTGGTTCCAGGCACCCCCTCCGGGTCGCAGGCCCTTCCCCGCCTTCATGAGCCACGGTCCAGTGGGGGCCACAGGCGTTCCGACAGGCAGTGGCCAGTGGTCACCAGGCGCCACTCGGCTCACCCGAGCAAACGCGCCTCCATGGGCCTCCCCCCACCCCCATCCACTGGGCAGAGGTGGGCTGAGGGGCACTGCCACCCGGCCTGGCCAGGGACGCGGGCGAGCCTCCGGGCCAGACTTCCGCGGCGCAGACGCGGTGTTTATCCAGATTGTAGACATCTGCACTCGGATCGAGCCTTCCCTGTCCGAGGCATTCATTTGGGGAAACAGCGCAAGGGGCAGGGGCCGGCGCAGAGCACTGGAGGACACGGTTGCATGCGGAGCCCCTGGGCGAGGACCACAGGCTCCCACGGTGTCTCCCTCCATGAAAACGAGAGATTGCCCCGCCCTGGGGACCCTGCCCCTGCCCCTGCCGGTGGGAGACCCGGGAGCAGCTGCTGGCACCACACACACACACACACACACACACACACATACACACAGACGGAAACTCCACCTCGAGTGGGCGAGCACAGCCCCGGCTGGCACGTGGGGTCTGCCCGCGCCACGCCCAGGCCTCTTCTGGTTCCCCCCCCCTCGCCTCCAGTCCTCCTGGCTGGCCTCGCGGCAGGCACGTGGGGCTGGATCAAGGTGTGCGTGACCCGAGGGAACGGCCCGCTACTGAGCAGAACCGGGCGCCCCAGGGCCTCACGCACCCTCTGAGGCATTCTGCTGCAGCCAGCCACGTTTTGGGTTTTGTGGGTTTTGTTCCTTCAAACACAGGACATTGAGCACCCTGCCAGGGAGGAGGAGGAGGAGGAGGCTCTGGGGAGGAGCCAGGTAGAAGACAGGCAAGGCCCCCCCCTCCACACATGCGCGCGCACACACGCACACTCAGAGGCCAGAGTTCCCTGTTGGGTCAGAGGCTATAGTGTTGGGTTCCAGAAGCCCCCCCCCCCCCCCGCCCTCTCTACACACACACACACACACACCCGAGTTCCCTGCTGCGCTTCTGAGAAGGGGCCGAGAAAGCAGGGAGAGCCCTGAGGATTGGTGTGAATTGGAGGGCAAGATGACCTACCCGCCCCCCCCCCCCCCCCCGCCCCGCACTGTGTTTCAGCACCCAGCCTGCAGCTGACCGAGGACCACAGTGAGCCAACGAGGGGGCCGGTCAGCTCAGCCGCAGTGCCGCGGACCGCTACTGCCTGTCCCCCACTTCCTGGGCCGGTCTGGCCCTGCCACCCCTGGACATCACCTGGCTCCTACTAACCTTCCTCTCGCCTCCCCCTCCCTGCCCTCCTGGCCCCCTCCCCACCTGCCTGCTTTTATTTATTTTGGATTAGCTGGTAGCCCTCACCCCTGCCCTCACCCCCTGGGCCTCCCTCCGGGGCCTGCGCCCCTCCCTCCTTGTTGGCCCCCCCAGCCCCCCCCCAAGGCTTTTTTACCTGTGCATAGCTAGAGCGAGGGCAGAGGGGCCTGCCCCAGCCAAGGCCCACCCTGTTTTCTGGCTTCCCCTCTTTTTCTCTTTCCTTTTTTTTTTTGTTTTTTGTTTTGTTTTGTTTGGGTTTTTTTTTTTTTAAGAAACCGTGGTTTTTGTTGTTTTGTTTTGAACTATTTCTAGGTTTGTGAATGTGAAGCCCCAGGCCGAAGGGGGACAAGGGGCCCGGTGCCCCCCCACCAGCTGAGAACCAGTCTGTGGGTGTGGACCCCCGGCCTCCTGCTCTGGCCCTGGAGAGGAGGACAGGGCTATGGAGGCCAGGCCAAGGCCCTGGACCCGTCCCGTCCGTCCGTCCGTCCGTCCTGTATCATATGTAAATACTGTGAGGTGAAGCCCCCAGCCTCTTGAAGACCTCTTGGGAGTGAGGACTCGCCGGTTCCCGGTGGAGGACCCTCCCACACACAAGTTCCTGCCCCCTCCTCAGACACCGTTACTGTAAGCTTGCAGGCCTCATTGTGGCCGCGGCAGGCCCCACTCCTCAGGCCGCAGGGGTCAAGGCCTTGGGCCTAGTCACGCCCCCCAGGACCCCAGAAGCTCGGGGGGCGAGAGGCGAGGGAAGGGAAGGTCCCCCCGACCAGTGCTGGACAGGAAGGAACTCTCCAGAGGCCACCTGGGCCTTCACCGCTTCTGCTCTGAGCCCTCTACGCCCACCCGGCGGCAGCGGGGTGGGGGGGCGCTTTGGAAAGGGGCGGACCCCAGGGGGAAGCAAAGGGCTTCTCAGGGAACCCCCACATTCTCACTGAAGTTTCCCACAGCACGATGGTCCCCCAGCCAAAGCCCGCTGGGAGCCCCCCAGGCCCCTGGAAAGGAGAAACCGAGACTCAGGCCGACTCTTCAGGGGCCGGGAGGGGCCCGGCCACTGCGCCCCCTCCCCCCAAGCCCTGCGCCCCCGTGTCTCATCCCCGCCACGCGCCCCGCCCCCTGCAGCCCCTTGGAGAGTTGACTGTGAGGTGCTCGCCCGCCCAGCCCCCAGAACACAAAGCAATAATCTTTGTTACTGAGATGCGCGGCTGTTTGTGGTTTTTGTTCTTTGGGGTTTTTTCCGGTTGTGTTTTTTTTCCCCGGATTTTGTTTTTGTTTTTTGGGTTTTGTTTTCAATGTTTCCTAATAAAAGAAGAGCTGCATTTTATTGGTCTTTATTTTTCATTTTCTACACGTTTGAGCTGAGTCCCAGGGAGACTGAGCTTCCCTTTCCTCTCCTTCCCCAGACCCCTCCCCGACCCCCCTTGGGCCCACCCATGGGCTCAGGGCCCTAGAATTCCGTTTTCTGATTTGTTTGGGGAATTTTGTAAAAAGATGTTACATGGTGTTTCGAAGCCAGCAAGTTACCACCCTCCGGTGTCTCTTCTCTCCACATCTGTAACTTCTTTTTCCAGGTTTTATTTTCAGTTTTAAATTCCTAATAAATTATTTGAAAACGGTGCCAGGTGCGGGTGAGTCGGATCTCTGTGGGTCTGGGCCTGAGCCTCCCCCCATCCCCGTTCCCGCCTCTCCCCTCTCCTGTTCTCTGGGGGTGGGGGGGGGGGCGCGCCTGACTCTCTGGTCCAGCTCTCCTCAACCAGCCTCAGAGCTTGACCAGGAGTGCCCTTTGCAGTCTGTGGGACGGTGGTCCTTTGGGGAGGGAAAATAAAGCTGGAAAATAACTTAGCAGTGAAGATGGGGGGCGAGGGGAACGAGAACCCTCTGTGTGCAAAACTGGCATGAGAGCAGAATGACGGGTCTGCCTTGGGAAGGTTGTTTCCTCCAAACAGAAAGGGGCCAGAGCCATAGGACTGCAGGGAGGGCACTTGCCTTGCACGCAGCCAACCCAGGTTCAATCCCCAACATCCCATAGGGTCCCCCAAGCACCGCCAGGAGTAACTCCTGAGTGCAGAGCCAGGAGGAACCCCTGTGCATCGCCGGGTGTGACCCAAAAAGCAAAAAAATAAAAATAATAGCTGCCATAAGTGCCTGATAGGAACTAAGCAGTGGTCCCCCCCACCCCCATTCCAGGAGGACCCACGGCCTGAGGTCCAAACAGACACAGCTTCTAGTGTGTGAGAAGGCACGTGTCAGAGGGAAACGGGATGTCCTATTTTTTTGTTTTTTTCTTGGGGTGCCATACCCAGCAGTGTCCAACTAGAAGAATGCCTTCTGAACTATCTCTCCAGCCCAACAAGTGTGTCCTTATTCCCCGGGGATGTTTCTGGATTATAAAGGGAAAGCAGGGGCTGGAGTGATAGCACAGCGGGTAGGGTGTTTGCCTTGCACGTGACCGACCCGGGTTCAATTCCCAGCATCCCATAGGGTCCCCTGAGCACCGCCAGGAGTAATTCCTGAGTGTAGAGCCAGGAGTAAGCTCTGTGCATCGTCAGGTGTGACCCAAAAAGCAAAATAAATAGATAAATAAAGGGAAAGCAATCCACGACCCCAATAGCTGCCAAACCCCCTAGCTTGACTCCACTGTCTCAGGACGGACCTCATCAAAATATAATCTGCTGAAAATTCTGGTATGTGGGTTTTGTGACTGAAATCTCCAGACTTTCTTGGGGTTGGGATGGGCTGCCTTCCCCATCTCCCGGTACTTTCAGGAGCCGTGGCAGTCACAGCCACACCCCAAAGCTGCCACCCAATTAAAAAGCCATTCCAGCTTTACTGTCCCGATAAAAATACCGATTGCCCTGAGCAAACACCATGACCTCTTAGCACCTGTACTGCAAACCATAATGCACAAAAGGAAAAGGAGAGAGAGAGAGAGAGAAGGAAATCTGGGGGGTAGGGGGTTGGGAGTTTGGGGATGGTGGTGGGGAAATGGGGGTGACATTGGCGATGGGAAATGTACACTGGTGGAGGGTTGGGTGTTGGGTTGTTGTATGGCTGAAATCCAATTATGGACAGCTTTGTAATGGTCTATGTTACGGATATCCAATTTAAAAAGATTTTTTTTAAAAAGAAAAGGTAATGTGAAGCTCATGCCCAATTCAGTCAGCTTCATCAATGGCTGAATAAATCACAGTACTTATACATTAAAAAATAAAAGTAAAGGGACTGAAGCAATAGCACAGCGGGTAGGGTGTTCGCCTTGCACGGGGCCAACCCGGGTTCGATTCCCGGCTTCCCATATGGTCCCCTGAGCACTGCCAGGAGTGATTCCTGAGTGCAGAGCCAAGAGAACCCCTGTGCGTTGCCGGGTGTGACCCCCCACCAAAAAAAAAAAAAAAAGGAGAAGGGGCTGGAGAGGCAGCTCAGCCGGTAAGGAGGTTGCCTTGCACGTGGCCAACCTGGGTTCTGTCCCTGGCACTGCATATGGTCCAGCAGGCTCTGCCAGGAGTGAAGCCCCGAGCATAGCCAGGTGTGGCCTCCAACAGTTAAAGCATTTTTCTTTGGGGGAGGAACTCTTGGGGGTCACATCCAGCAATGCTTAGGGGTTACTCCTGGCGGTGCTCAGGGGACCATAT